CTGATCCACAAATCCAGAGGTTTCGGTTTTGAATATTCACTCTTACCTTAACCTATTAGTGGCCTCTCTCTCAATCCAACTTCATCATCAAAACTTCAGTTCCAATATCCCTCCTCTTCTTTTAATAGTCGCTCTACTCTTGCAGCAAGACTGCCCTGAATGAGTCACCTCTTCTTGATTAAAAAGATCAGATAATAAAGATATGTAAGTATCCTAAAGAGATTTGCTCCCTGGAGAACCCAGTAGGACCAAAAGAGCACCCAAAACCTAGTAAAGGAAATAAAAATAGGTAACTGTCAGAATCATGAATGTTGAGAAATAAGGCTAGTGGATTTGCCAAGTATGGACTTGCCTCCTGGCATGGGAAGTCTATCCCATAGCTGGTGGGAGGAACTGATTCCTCTCCATTTCCCCAGAGAACTTAACATTAATGGTTTCCCCAAAGACAGTTGCTTGAGGAAACATGACAACAAGCAGTTAGATAGGAGAAGCCTAGCCAGCTGGCCTTGCCTCTGCGTCTTGCTGTATATGATGCACAGGCACACAGAACCCACAGCCGGGTCCCACAGAGTAACACAATCCAGAGGAGAGGAGAGACAAACATTTAGTCAAATGCTCAACGTTCTCTTGTTCTGTCATGACATACAGACATGAGATATCAATAGAAGCCTAAAAAGGAATTAAATTATGATCGTCTTATACCAAGCAAATCACTTCAGTTTTCTTCACATTATATTTCTTATGTCTCAACTCAAAAGTTGCCCTGGTCAAGACTTTGGAGCTCAGTTGCCTAGAATGGGGCCTGATTTCACTCTGGACTGTATGGAACTGGCTAGGGGGTCCAAAGGAAGACTCTGAAGAGGTGGAATTTCATGTCTTCAAAAAGATACATTTCCATATAAACCAAAGCGGCCTCCAGATGTGAGACACTCATACCCCACGCTCTGAGAAAATGGAAAAGTCGAGACGCCCTCATGATCAGTCTGTACCATTGAATTTCTCCTGGGACACTCTGTCCTGCCTGTAAATATTATCAAATTCAATTCTAGGTGGCTTATGAAACAAGGCAAATGGTCAGGATTTATTCAGACCAACATCTGGAAGCATGCATGCTCTACACAGTTAACCCTGTGAAAGAGACAAGTCATACTCTGGGACTGTCCCCAATCTGTTCCTCCTCTACCAGCCTAAAAACCTTCACAGCACAGGGTGTCTTCAAGATGCCTTAAGATAACATCATAAAATTGTGCAATGACTGGCAACCATCATCTCTCAAATTTGCCAGACTTGGGTATGTTTTTTAGAGCAGAAAGCATCTAATGGCCGTGAATACTTCATTTAGTGCTTCTTTTTCTAACGCATTGCAAGAAGTTCATTCTTCAGCACCAGCCTCTGACAAGGACTCCATCTCAAGCTCTCATCCAACTTCTGGAGAAATTTCACTCCAAATCTTCTATTAAGCTTTTCCCAAATGCTCAGTGTTTGTAGAGTACTTTGCAATAATTTAGTAGCCTTCTCCCAAGCCACCACTTAAAGAAAGGAGATTCTCCTCTCATTATCAACCCTTCCTTCACAGAAGGAGACCCTGAAGACTCTGTGGAGGTTTACAGCTAGTTGGCAAGATCTTTTTGGAGTCATAAACGAAGTACAAGTCTAGACTTTCAGATCTCCACCCCAGGGCTCGTCCCACAGACACTAAGGGGCAGCTGACCTCACTGGTAAGGGGACTAGGGACTGAGATGTCTTCCCTTTTGATACTATACTGAAGTATTTTAAGGTTTTCCTTCTCAGGAAAAAGTAACATATTAGTTAGCTAACATACTAGTTAACTTTCATGTTATCGGGACAACCTGGTGTCACCCACTAAGAGAACAGCTCCTGAAACAACCAGACTCAGGACAGGTAAGTTTGAATAACTAGGCTCAAAAGTAAGAGGAGAATGATCCACAGTAGGGGGTAATCTAGGACTAGAATACATGAAATAATAAAGGGGGTAGTATTGGGGGTGGGAGAAGGAGGATGAGGGCATCAGACACATGGCTGGTTTTATATGGAGCAGGAGGAACAGAGGAATTCAAAACCAGACTTGGCTGGATTGAAAAAGCTGCCTGGGGCCAGCACTGCCTTTACTAGCACACAAGGAGGAGACACCAGCGGCAGGGTAATGTGACTTGTTTGCAGGTCACGTCTTGGATGCCCTGCCTTCATTGGCATCACTCCTAATGGAACAATAAGCTCTCAAAGAGCTGTGAGATTGGGTTGAGTGTCAGGAGCAGAGCAGGAGCGGGGGAAGGATGTAGGAAAGGGTCAGAAGTTCTCCAGGTTGGGAGAAGTGGTGTGTGTCAGAGGCCCTGGGATTTCCCATTGGGTGACCACACCTGGGCCCATCTCCTGTGGCCGAATATGGATAAGTGGCTCTCTGAGCCCATCTAGGATCTCTGATCTCCTATGGAAAGAGAACATGTGAGAAACAGCTGGCAACCTCAGATGGCCCTATCCTGATTCTGGTGTGAGAAGTGTGTTTATCAACTTCCGAACGCTCTTCCCATTTCTCATCCTCTCTCCCCACATCTCCTCTATGCTCCCTCTAGGACTGCCAAGACAAAATTTTTAGAAGATATGGTTTATCGCTTTGATAAAATATAATTATTAAGTGGTACATTGATAAATCTTATCTAAAAAATTAAAAATAAATTTAAATATTCAAAGTTGTCTATGGGTTCCCCTCCACATACAAACACTCTTCACTCGTTAGCTTCACAGCTTCCCATGGTCTCATCCTTACTTCCTTGGAAACCCGAACCTTCATGCCGACCTCTGACTGCTTTAGCTTCTAGCAGGATCCACACACAACGGATAAGGCATGATGTTCCTGATCTTTTCTGACAACCTCTCCTGGTAATCTTTTCTACCATCAAAACTTACCTGTCTGATGTTCCATTCCCTGGGGGTTCGCTCAGTGCATTGATTCTGATAAACTAACCCACAACAACAGAAAACAGTTGCTTTATGGTTTGTTGAGAGAACCAACTGAGAAAAATCAAGATACACAAGTGAAGTGTTAATATTGTTATTATAGCGCATTAATACTCATAAGTAATAAACTGACCTTTTAGTAGAGACTCTGAGAACTTTCATCTAACTGAGTGGTTCTGTTCGGGGGGGGTGCGGGGGGTTCCCGGCATCAGGGCAGGTTGGCATGGGAGAGGGGAAGAGAGGGAAAGGCTGCAGCTTGTGGCTCTCCTGCGCTCACATTTTATAAGCCAGCTGCCCACTCCTCTTGTGCTGGCTGACCATCCTATGGCCAGCCCACATTTTGCTTTATTCAACTGAATCTGGAAAAACTTAGTTCGATCTATAGTTAATAAAACAAACTGTTTCAAGGGCACAAGGGCAATAATGTACAGTTAGTTCCCAATTACGGAAAATAGCATGCCATAGGGCCAAATATCTTTTCAAACCTTCTGCAGTTGGCAAAGAACCATTATTTGGGGACTCATTCCCCTAGACAGGGGCAGAATTGCTTTCATTCAGTGGAGTTGGATCTGTCACTTTCTGGCTCTGTGATACGGGACAAGTTGTTCAGCCTCTCTCAGCATCAGGTGCTTTATCTATAAAATGGGGATAAGTATGCCTATCTCACCAGGTTGGAGGATTCAACCTAATAGTTATGTAATATCTGTGAACCACATAACTCAAAGCTTGCTATATTGTAAACAAATGAAATAGTAGCAACCACAACAGTTATTCCCAGGCATTCTGAGAGTGGAAATATTCAGCCTTCAAAAGGTACTCAAAGGTAGCTGTGTGGTCTACATATTAGTCAAGAGGCTTGGAAACCATTTGGGTTTGAGAATTTCACATTACCCTTTGAGACAGCTGGCAAACCCGCGAAGTGTCTCAACCTCAGGGCAGGAATTTCTGCCCTAGAGATAGATGTCACCTATCTCTGGAAGCTCCGGAGACAGACCAGAGGGCCTGGCCACCCCTGCGAGACTTCTCCCTCCCACCAAGCCAAGGGCATACCCATTGCCTGTCCTCTTCCTGACCTCGCCCTCTTCTACCCACCCACTCCCCCCTACCCTCTGGATGGTGGGCGCCTGAGACAGCCTGCCTAATCTCAGCTCCAGGAGCACTCTTTGCTTTCAAAATGACTTGCCCAGCTTAATCAGTAACCAGCAGCCCTCCGCGGCCAGTTAGTCACCTGCCCTGACACGAGTTCCTTCTCCTGCCAGCCGGCAGATGTGACTTTTTTAGGAAGATTCAATTCCAAGCCTGTGCCCTTCTGCCAATGACAGCCTCCCTCTCTGAAGGTTACCTGTCATCCGGCATTCCTGCTCATGAATGCAAAGTAAAGCGGGTGCATGCCCTGACCTTGGAGATGCACACCATTCTCTATACGAGTTCTAAAACAGAACATTTGACATTTGCCGTCTTGTTTGTGTCAGGACTGAGAAAATGAAGCCCCACATGGCTGGATACCCTCTTAGGTTCAGGGATGTGGTTTGTGAATGGCACTTGTCAACTAAAGCTTGCAATGATAATCAGCAGGCATGATGTGGAGGAAATGTTAATGAAATCCTGCCTGACTGCAGGAACACATTAGAATAGAATCAAAGTCATATGTGGGAATTTTTTTTCTCATATACTGTCTTCTCTGCATATATTAACCTTTTGCTAGCTTTAAAAAAACAGCACAAAACTAGGATGATTCACTCATTCAATCATTCTTCAAATATTTATTGAGCACCCATTATATACCAGATCCTGTACCAAGCACTAGGACAAAAAATTGAAGGAGGCATAGATTATTTTAGGCAAATAATCTATTATTCAACATTTTATGCTGAGAACCCAACTTCTCGGTATGTTAAAAACAAAGCAAAAAGATTACAATCATTTCTTCAGAGACCTTTGCTTCCTTTGGAAATAGGGGAAGGGAAGGTCAGGCTCTTAGAGCAAACAGAGTATTAAATTAGCCAGAGCAGGCTGTGGGCTTGTGAACATTTTGCAAAAGAGGAAAGTATGTTGGGTTTGGGAAAGAGACAAGCAAACAATGAGAGTGGATGGCATGACCATGGGCAGTCTTTCAGAAAGAGAGTGCCCAGACTTGCCATTGTTTGTGAAATAGTCTCCAAGCAAGAAGGGCCTGCAATGGCCCAGCTGGGCTGGCCCTCCTTGTTCAGTCTCTGCCCTGCTGCCTGACACTACTGATAGTGAAAGCTGGCTGAGCCCTGCTCTGCTGATAGCGATGTGAGGCACCATTTAGCAGAAGTTTCCTGATGCAGAGCTTTTAGAGAATTCACGGACTTGCTCTGTCATCTTCATCAAAAGATGTTTCCTTTTGCTGAGTCAGAAGAAGTAAATTGGATCTGGACCAGAAACTAATGGTGAGTCAAATGAAAGACTATAATTGCAGAGCAAACCCCTCTACTGCTAAGGTTGCCAGGGCGTGATGGGGAGCACTCAGCAAATGCCTGGGGCTGGTTCGTTCAGGCAACAAACGGTTATGCTTCCTGCTTCCATGCTTCAAAAACTGTCCTAGGTGCAGAGACAGAGCAGTGACCAGACAGACAAGGTCTCATTCTCATTCTCATGAAGCTTAGATTGCAGTGGAAAGAGATAATACATGAACTGTATAATTTAAATTATGATAAGGAAAAGGAAAAATAAAAAGGAAAGTTGCACTAAAGAGTAACTTATGGAAGGCACTTATATTTGTCCACACTTTATTGCAAACAACAGAATCCACTCCAGCTAGTTTAAGCAGAAAGAAATTCTATACAGGGAATGTAGTGATTCTCAATTTTTTTTAAAGGTTGGATGACCAGGCTCTAGGCTGACCTCTCAAGAACCATCCCCAGCCTCTGCACAATCTTTTATAAGAAACTGTGTATTAGGAAGGTGCCACACCCTTACTGACTGCAGAACATTCTAGCCCTTCATACATTTAAAACAGCTGTTGCTGCTATTGCACAGCCACTGAATCAGAAAGCTGCCTTTTGCTGCTACACATTGTAGCCACAGCTATAACTGCTTGCTCGAGAATCACACCACTTCCACCACGATCCAGGCCAGCAAAATGATGCTCAATCCCGTCAAAACAGAGACACAAAATGGGGGCCCTGCATTTTGCTGGTTGAAACTAAATTGTTTCTAGAATGCAAGCTCCCAGAGAGTGGGATTTCTTTAGTTTCATATTCTTGGCATAGGAAAACAGAGTTTGAATGGATATTAAACTACCTGATCCCCAGTAACTACCACACCACTTTGGAAGGATAATAGGGAACACCGCTGGGGGAGGTGACATTTAAGCTAAAACCACATGGAGAACTGAGGAAGAAACTTTCCAGGCATAGAGAAAAACAAGAGTCACAACTTCAGGTGTGGTGAGTGTGGGTGATAGGGGCCTTGGATGAGTCGAAGCCCGATCAAGCAGGGCTTAGGGGATCATGCTCAGGAGTCTGAAATTTATTCATAGTACTTGGAAACCACGGAAAGTTCTATGAAGAGGACTGGCATACTCTGATTTGTACTTTTAAAAGACAATTCTGGCCTCAAAGTGGAAATTGGATTATAGATGAGCAAGGATGGAGCCAAGGAGACATGACAGAAAATTTTTGAGGATTAGAGATGATGGTGGCTAGCGCCAGGATGTTGACTGCAGATGTGAAGTTGACACGTTCTATGTATGTTTTATTGGGAGAACCACGGGATTTCAAGATGAATTAGATTCGAGAAGTTACAGAAAGCAAAGCATTAAGGATTGCTCCCATGTTTCTGATCTAAACAAGGGTGGATGATATTCTGTTTACTGGGCTAGGGAACAATGGGGGAGACATGTCTACAACTCACCAAGTCCTTGATGTTTAAAAAAAATCAGTTGTATAAACAGGTTGGATGTAGACTCAACCAGAAAGCCTCATGTTTTACTCTCCCAACTGGCCATCGATTTCATTCTTCAGAGTATTCTTAAAGTTCTGGTGCAGTGGGTCTCAAACTCTGTGTATGAAAGATTCTGACACAGGAGGAATTCATATTTAGATCTGTATAAAAGTTTACATGGTAAAAGACATGTGGGAGTTGGTGTCTGATCTCCATAAGAAACAAAAATAATAAAATAGAGTTATTTGAAGGTGAACGGCTGAGCTCTGAAAAGTCATAGATTTAGGACAGTGGCAAGCCAAAGCCCCATGTTGCCATTTTGGCACAGCAAAATAATCCTCAGGTCACCTATTCCCACAACCCTCCCCTCCCCTCCCCTCTCTATTCATTCCACCATCAAAACACTTGCTATAATTATAAAAGAATGCTTCTTGGATTTTATGAGCTAATACTGAAATGACAAAATGATGTTAAAAGCAAAAATATAGATTATCTCTTTATAAACGCAAGTACTATTAGTGATCAGCCTGGGAGTCAACCAGAAGAACAAACTCAGAAAAACCACTGCTCTAGACTATGCTATAATCTCTTCAACAAATAAATAAGCCAAGAAGAATTTAAAAATCTAAGTAAGAGACCGAAAGGGAGTCCACGCCTGTGTCCTGCCTCTCTTAAGTGATCAGAGCTCTTACAATACCTCTGTTGCTGGGGCAGAAGCAAATAATCCTTTGCTCTCTCTAAGCATTAAATCTTCCAGTTGGCTTTAGCACTCTCCGTGGGCATACTAGTGCAAAGCAGAAAAAGATTTAATTTAATGTTGCTAGGTTTTCACTTTTTTTGTGGTTAATAAAGAGGCAGGTGTAGTCGGCTGTGCTGTTAGGGAAAAAAAGAGAGACGGTTAAAATTGTTTATTTGACCCACTTCAAATCTTGCTAAACCACAGTGTAAGACAACTCATAATTTGTTCCCAGCACCCATACCTCAATAACTTTCAAGGGAAGTGCTTCTGAAAGTATTTCACACTTACACATGAAATCATCCTCCCAATATAGGACACTCTGAGCTCTGTATATAAGAATTTGGGGGCCCTTCTCCTACTCCTCCAAAAATAAAACATGTAAGTATGTAATATCGTAAGCCCAAGAGTAAAGTTGCTAGCTGTCAAATTGACGAGTTGTGGGTGATGGAGATGCATGCCCAATGCTCTCAAGAATTAAAGGTTAAGTCAGTGTAATCTATCATCTGATAAAGAGAAGTTGGACGGTGTAAAAAGAAAGATTGATTCCTCTAAAGCATTGTGTTTAATAAAATAATTGGTTAGAAACTAAATGGTTGACTGAATTTGGTCCGTTTCCTTGTTTTGGAGTCATCAATTTAGGCTTAGTCTCCATCTTTAGTCCAATCTTTGGCTGTTTTGGGATTTTTGTTGAGTGCTTACACCAAACAGTAGGGAGGAGAAAGCAGAAAGAGCATGAGCTACAGTTTGTCATTTTTGTCACCTAATAGGAAAATGGATTTATGTGTAACTTTTCTGTAGGATCTCTTGGTTCTGAGCAGATGGCAGTTATTTAACACATGTCTCTGGAATATGTCAATGATTCATGGTGTCCATCTGGTACAGGCAAATTCTACACTGGGGGCTGTGGTTACCTCTGTCACATACACTCCACTTCTCTCTTATTGATAAAAAGTCATGGTGTCTGAGAGAATGAACTCACTTAAAGAGAGAGACCTGGCTGACTCTGAGTAATCTCAATCCATTTCCCAGAGACTGGCTAAGAAACGGTCATGTGACCCTTGACTCCAGCCAGTGAGAAGAAAAAGAGATTTCTGGGAATGTTCTTCTTGCTTCTTAAGAGAGAGCAATAGGAAGGCGGTGTCTCTTCCTCACTGTATGTGAATAAGGAGACTCGTAGACCCAAATGTTGTTGGCAGTCATTTTGTGAACACAAGGAAAACCAATCTGAGAATGAAGCTGAAGTTTAAGACAGTAAAATGAAGAGGAGAGAAGCTGGCCCTTTGATGACATTTTTTTGAGTCGTCGAATCAGCCAACTATGAAGCCCACTCTACTTCTGAATTGCCTGCTATAAGCCCTAATAAATATTCTCGTTGCTTAAGTCAGTTTAAATTTGGTAGACTGTTTCTTGCAAATAACGTGAATGATGTGAAGACTGACATCATTTGCAAAAAGAGATTTTTTTAAGTATTTAATTATTTAAATATCCAGCTTACCTCTCTTTGAGATGGATAATCAGTAATTAACTTTTATATTGCTTAAGTATCCTTAACAGTCTCTTCTCACTGTAAAGCTGATTTTAAGAATTGAAAGTCTACAAAGGCAATGGGAAATCAGGTCTGATGGCATATAGTCCTCTCAGAACTTATGCTGTCATTTACGTAAGTGTTTACAGCAAATCTTATAATTTAAGTGCAATTTTTGGTTCTTGGAACTTGGTTATATTTAGATAAATCTTTTTTCTTTATACTTTATTTATTCTTGGGAATCTCTAATCAAAATACATACAGAAGTAACTTAAGCCTGGTTGTAAAATGGAAAGAAAAGCCACGCCCACCTGCTCTGTAATTAATTACCCCTTCTTCTGCACACTTGCTGAAACATCCCTTCTCTAACTGGGTAGTAGTTGGATATGACTGACTGCCCACTTCAGAACAGCATAGCCACTAAGAGCATGAACTCAAATCTTGACTCTGCTATTTATTAGCTGTGTGCTTTTGGGTGAAATACTTAACCTCTGTAAACTTCCATTTATCTCTCGGTAAACGAAGATAATAGTTGTATTTGCCTCATACAATTATTGCGTGGATTATATAAGATAATGCATGTGAAACACTTAGCATAGTGCCTGGCATGTAGAAAGTGCTCATGAAATGTTATTTATATTCACTTTGCGGTGCAAGTAATCGATGGGTTTTACCTGGAGGGATAATTTTGACATTTTGAAAGTGCAGCTTTCAAATTCTTATATAAAAGAGTGGGGTCCAGGAGAGAGCTGTTTGAGAACAGGCAGAATGGGGCGTTCCTCTCCCTCTTAACATTTATCTCCTATCTCCCTCACGTGGAATTAGTCTATATCCCTCTCTCTCCTCCATCACCATAACACATAAGAATTAACTCTGATTCCTTCACACGGAGCTCCATGAAATAAGTTGTAACACAGAAGGATGATAATATCATGGCTTGATGTAAAAATACTCAAAATTGTCTTTTTTAATTCTAGAGTACAGAGAATAAATAAATAAAAGAAGGAAAGGAGGAAGAAAACCTCAATATAGCCTGCTTATCTTGGCTCTATTCTAAGAAAAATTAAGAAACAAAGGACACTGGCAGGGTGGAGGGGCTCCACCCCACTCGCTGAGTGTGACCTTGAGCAAATCACAGCATTCCAGTAGAGGTCAATGTCTTCATCTGTCAAATGAAGGGTTTGGACGTGAACAGTGTTTTACACCTTGTGTTCCCAGAGGCTGGTCAGAGTGTGAGTGAG